TTTCTGGCTCTTTGTTTCTAGATAAAGATTTTCTGACTCTTTAGATGAGGATTTTATGTGTTCTTTCTAGAGAAAGATTTTATGGTTCTTTGTTTCTAGATAAAGATTTTCTGTTTTTTTTACAGAAGGTTTTCTGGCTCTTCATTTCCAGATAAAAATTTTCTGGCTCTTCGTTTCCAGATAAAGATTTTCTGGCTCTTTAGATGAAGATTTTCTGGCTCTTCTTTCTTAATAAAGATTTTCTGGCTCTTCAGATAGAGATTTTCTGGCTCTTTGTTTCTAGATAAAGATTTGATGGCTTTTTTACAGAAAGTTTTTCTGGCCCTTCATTTCCAGATAAAAATGTTCTGGCTCTTCGTTTCCAGATAAAGATTTACTGGCTCTTCTTTCTTAATAAAGATTTTATGGCTCTTCAGATGAATATTTTCTGGCTGTTCTTTCTAGATAACGTTTTTTTGGCTTTTTTACATAAAGATTTTCTGGCTCTTCATTTCCAGATCAAAAAAGGCTTTAAACTCCCACCAAATATCCACCAATCACGTTAGGCCTCCCCCGGCTCTACTAAAAACTCCAGAACTGAAGTAAAGGAGCAACAATCATTTGACACCAGAACCGAGAAAAAAAAAAACTTTTTAGAGGATTTTCAGATTGAAGAGAACTGAAAAAAGCTTGTAAAGCTTGACTTTGTTTCCAGATAAAGATTTTCTGGCTCTTTACATAAAAAATGTCTGGCTCTTTAGATTAATATTTTCTGGCTCTTCGTTTCCACATAAAGTTTTTTTAGCTCTTTATATAAAGTTTTTCTGGCTCTTTAACACCAGATAAAGATTTTCTTGTTCTTCGTTTCCAGATAAAGATTTTCTGGCTCTTCAGATAAATATTTTCTTTTTTTTCTGGCTCTTTTTTTTTGTTCTTTGTATCCAAATAAAGATTTTCTGCCTCTTCGTTTCCTGTTAAAGATTTTCTGGCTCTTTAGATGAAGATTTTATGTCTTCTTTCTAGAGAAATATTTTCTGGTTCTTCGTTTCCAGAT